AATAAAGGCTGGTGTGCTATGTGTGTGCGCCATTTGTGGAGCGGCTCCCCATGCATCAACAAATGGTGGATTTGTCGGAGGAACAGGCATCTAAAAGGCAAATAAAACCCTTATACCCCGAATAACCAAGTACTATACACATGATAGTAGGAGCTGACCTGCATTGGAATTTGAGGCACTTGCGCAGGCATGGCTGACTGTTGAGGCCAGCCTCCATTTTGAGCTTGAGGTGGGAACTGCGTTTGGAATTGAGGCTGAGCTTGCTGTACAGAGCCGTTCAGTGGAGCACTAACGGCTGATCCATTCATTGCCGGAGGCTAAAAACAAAATAATTGTTACCCGTTTGCATTCGTTTACAAAACTAAACATTAATTTTCAATGCATTATAGTCTGACCAATCAGATTATTGCGAGAGAAGAAATTATGTTCTGCGCTGCAAGAACAGTTTCTCCTATGTTCAGTTTATTAGTCAAAACGATAACTTTCTGAATGGTATCCAACGCAAGCGCTACATCTATCCAATTTACAAGAAAGAAATAAAGATCTCTAGATAGCTCCATCTTCAGAATAAATGAGAAAATTCATAGGTTTGTAACTCACACTAGCAACAAAGCTGTCCTGGAATGGATCAGCAAATGGTGTAGCTCCAAATGCATCCGTTCCTGTTGGAATTTGTTCTAGTTGCTGAAGTCCTTGTTCGATTTGCTGCACTTCTGTTTCCAGATCCAACAAATCCGCGACAGCAACTCCATCTGCCGGCGTGCTTTCCTTAAATGATTAAGCTTAGTAAAGGGACTACACAAGTAACTCCTTTACACAGATTAAAAGAATGCACTTATGAAGGTAGATTCAGAGTTAATTATGTAGGATATCTAAGATTATTATTGTTTAGGAAAGGAGAGCCCTAATATCTAAGTAAGTAGAGTTAATTTTTTGGAATATCTAAAAGGATTACTGTGTAGAGGAGACTAATGTCTAAATTTTTTATTTAACAAAAAAAAGGACAGAAAAAACGATGAAATT